TCACGTTCCAGCACCGCGCCCACAGCCATGCCCGTTGGCAGCGCTGTGGGCAGATCCTTCAGCGAATGGACGACAAAATCGACGCCGCCATTTCGTAGTGCATCTTCCAGATCCCGGGTGAATAGGCTCTTCTCCCCAATCTTCGGCAGCGAAACGTTCAACACACGATCTCCAAATGTAGACATCGTATCTGCAAAATCAACAACAGATGCAAATGAGTTGTTTCCTTTTTATTACCGCTTCGATCTACTTTATAGGTGTTCCCTGACATTCCAGCTGATATCATTCTTATATAATCAGAGTGGCCCCGTTCAATCAGGCGTGACACGCAAACGAACTGAGTTCAGTTCCCCCCATTTAATCAGAAAATACAACACGATAGCAAGTACTCTTTTATCAGCACGCAATGCCACAAATTCTGGAGCTTATCAGACATTGAATTTGCCTACGAATGGACGCTATTTGATTGCACTTTACGAACTCCAGCTGTTGGATGTAAATATTAAATATCTAAACGGGATGTCGCGTGCTGCTCAAGGCTCTTAACATTAACTCAAATTTAATGATTAAATGGTGTGCGAAATAACGAGAACTGGCCTCAATTATTTATTATTTGTTATAGAAGTACACCCTGAAAAATGAATTTAATATCCATAAATAAACATATTACAGTCGATTTTAGCCAGTACTCTGTGTAAATATTTATTTTAATAGAAATGAAGTACATATAGGAAAAAAGTTAAAGCTATTTGAATTTATTATCAAGACCTGATAACAATATATATATTTATAATAATAAGTAGATTTCAATAGATGCTTATATTATGTCAGCAGCACGTTTGTCAAAATGCGATAATCTAGTTAAGTGTGCTTTTAATCTATAAACAACAGTCGTTAAAGTTATTTAGCAAAAGAGCGGAACAAAAGCAAAAAGTAAAAGAAAGAAAGACATTGACATTGAGCGAAATTTTGGCAAAAGGCACGCGAATGAGACGCAACCAAAATTTAAAAGATAATGTGAATACAAAATTAAGCAAATCGAACGCGCCTCTCTAAATATCTCGCATTCTATAAAACTGCAGTGGCAACAATGACTCTCAGTTCATAAACTGATTAAATTTAACGCGAGTACTGCTGAATAGATAAGACAATTGAGTTAGGCCGCAGAGAATTCATGAGTCATGGTGAAACATAATAAAATATTAATAGTAACGCACGTTTGCAAGAATCATAAATACTTGTGTAAACAAAAATATGATGCATTTCCAATTGGAAACTTTCACTTACGTATCTCGAACTTTTGCTTCGGATAGAGTTTCTGCAGTCTGCCGACGACATGCTTAGTCTGAATGAGTGCTAGCTGTAGGAGAGAAGGGAATAAAGAAGAAGAGAGAGAGAGACAAGCATAAGTAAATGCTGTTAATTGCATATGCAAATACTAAATGTAAATGAACTGTAATTGGAGAAAGGAAGTAGGAGAGGGAGAGAGAGTGAGAGCGAGCAATTGAGTATAATTAATGGTGGGTTCAAATAAGACTCGCGGTCGCAGCTGCTGTTAGATTTGTTGTTGTTGCCAATTGGCAATTCGAATTTTAATTAGCAACGATATTTAAAATATAAGTGAGTGGCCTTGATATGGCTGAACGGCAGGCTAAGACCCAAGTCAAGCCAATCCGCGTCAAGCACGACTCAAATGGCCAGCAAAATATGGTCAGAGTAATAAAAAGATACAAAACCTCACAAATCAAACGACAGGCGAGTGCGGGCAGTTAGACATTACTATTGCTTCAGCTTAATGAGAGCAACAGCAACAACAACAGCAACATCAATAGTAGCAGCAGCACCATGAGTAGCCCCACCAGCAACAAATTTAAGCAATGCGTGAGAGCCGCACGAATCTGAGCTGCTGTTGTATAACACTAACCAAAAAACACACAGTCCCAGTCAGCAACAACAAGCAGCAGCAGCGGTATTTTCTTGTTATTGGGCGAGCAACAAGTCTTGCTCTTGCATAAATATGTGTGAAGCGAGTTGTAGCGGAAGAGAGAGAGAGAGAGATAGAGAGGGAGGGTGCAAGCAATAGACGGATGAGCGTATACGACATGATTGAAATTTAAATGAAAGTTTAGCAAATCGAATGCACATATTTCAGCACACTCACACACACATATTGACTTTGACTTGTATACATATTCTTTACCTCACTTTTTCGTGAACCAACACGAATGACCTTTTCCTTGTCCTGCGTAGACATATCTTAAGTTTCTGTTATTATTGCACAATTGTTATTATTAGACAGACGTGTGTGGAGGTGGTTTAGTGAAAGTGTCTGTGGCGAGGACAAGCACAACTTTTGCACAGTAGCAGCGATGAACGATGAATGAAAACTTTAATTCACTGAGTATTAAACACACATTCTTGTCTTTCTGTCATGTAGACTTTGTACTAGACGGTTTAAAATCCAACCAATGAACCTAAAGTTAAGGTTTTATGCTGGACGATACTACGTCCGAGCAAAGAGCAATGCAGCAAGTGATTGGCAAACTCACTGCCATGCGACAAGGGCCTTGATAGACGATTACTCGATAGCTGTTGAATAATATTCGATCTAGAGATGAAATTATGTGTCAACTATTAAATACTAAATATGTACATCACTGAAATAAAGCGAGTGCCACCAATCGATAACTGCCAAACAGCTGGTTGGAAAACAAATAAAAACAAGTCGCTGTTGTTGTCATGTTTTTGGTAAGTTATGATTTATTTAATAAAGTAAACTATTAAAAACATATTAAATTATCCACTCTAGTTTTCAAGCCGTCCCATGGGGACGCTTGGCGATCGTATGCGAGTAGTGCGTGAGCGCTTAGGAGATGAATTTCTGGACAAACTTGACGAACTGCATTTAAATGCTCTGCGCACTGGCCTAGTGTCCAGAGCAGATTTGCAAGAAGCATATCGCATGGCGCGTGACATGAACACCAATCATAACCGGCTAAACTTCTTGTGGCTTCTGGGGATTATTTTTTTCATAATGATAGCGACACCTATTTTCTATGAGACCATTTCGTTTCTACTCGGCGTGCGCTGCTTCTTGCCTAACAATCATCTGGTCTGGGAGGCAACGCGTCCAATCAGTGATTGTGAGTTCTGCAAGGGTGTTGCGGCGCCTCTAATTTTACCCAATCTGACGCGCGAAGACTTTGCTCGCTATGCATACTCCTCTCGACCAATAATTGTGAAAAAAGCCATTGCTCATTGGTCAGCAAAGCAAAGTCTCAATTATACATCTATTAAAGAGCTGTATGAGAGCGTACCGGGTTCTTTGGACACCGCATGTCAGTTCCAGCATTTCAATTCGGATCTCAAGTCATTGCGCGACGTTTTCAGGATGTCACCAAAGCGCGTAAATCTAAGCGAAGGGTCGCCTTGGTTCGTGGGTTGGAGCGTTTGTCAGCCGATGGTGCTGGCGGAGCTGCGTAAGTTGTATCCACGACCACACTTTCTGCCAGTGGATGCCGAAATGCCAAGCACGGACTACATATTGATGGGCTATGAGCAGGGCGCCGTCATGCATGTAATTACAACTGAGGTTATGTCCTGAACAAGCTATGTAAGCGTTTCTCTATCTCTTACAGTTGGACTATATTCCACGTCTAATGTGGCAGGCACAGCTACAAGGCAACAAAAGTTGGTTTTTGTCTCCCGCGCCAGAATGTGACCACCAATGCCAGTCGTTTTTCTTCTACGTGGAACCAGGCGATGCTGTACTGGTGGATACACGCATTTGGTATTATGCTAACACCATACCTAGAGGACAATTCTCACTGACTGTGCAGTCCGAATACGGTTAAATTCTTAATAACCAGATTAAAGAGTTTGATGAAACTATACTTCCCAATTTATAAATTATTCCCTCAATTAAAATATAAGATAAATAATATTAAATTGATATATAAACATTTTAAACTTCGCGGCATGCGATAGCTGAAAATACTATATCGATTAATCGAGCACAATCCATTTGCAACACACCTAAGCCTTTGACGCGCGCTTATATTTTAGAAAGCAAAGACGAAAAAGTAAAAATTTACAGACATGGACGACAACTTTAATTTTAGTGTGTTTTCTGCGAAATGTAATGAGTACGTCCAGCAGCATCCTATCAATTTGAAAGAACTGTGCATCACAAAATCGGTTATAAAGACAAATGATTTCTTTAAAAGTGTCGAAGCTGAGGAAGCCGAAATGGCACCGGCTTTGTCTAACAAAGAACTTGGCACAATGGATGAATATGCAGAGCTGTTCAAAGTATTTGACACATATCCCACTAATCTTCAGCGTTTGCCGAAAAAGCGTGATCTGCAACGCACCAACTCCGCAATTCTCAAGGGGAACGATACCATACTGGACCAAACTGCTATTAACAGTTCAAATGTATCTCTAGCACCTATCTGCAATCGCTTGGATGAGCAGCCGAGCGCTGCGAAAGTGTACAGCGATTATAAGAAGTTTCAACAGAAGTTACGACAAGTATACAACGAAGCTGCTTCCCTGGAAAAGGAACAAACTAAATGGTTAGCCAAAATCGCACAACTAGAAATGTTTGTTCAACAGCTGGCGAAACTGATGCCCTGCGAGCGAGATTCGCCAGATGCCTTTACGGCTGAAGAGCAGACCAAACTTGCCACAATTGCAGAGAACATGATGGAATTGAATTATCTGCGTGCCAACAGCCTCACACAACTGGTCAATCCTATGGACACGACTGGACGTCAGGACACTTTTGTGGATGTTCTAAACTACGCTCTTATGCAAATAAGCTCATTCTGTACTCCCTAAATATGTGTGTTATTTTCCTGTAATTTTATTGTAATGTAATATTATCCAGACATTTTGAATGTTTTGATGCCAGCTGTTTATGTTATCGGTTATCGTTTGATAGGCGCGCTGCGACCTTTGGCTGTCATGTTCATCGACTTAAATGTAATTAACGTAGATTTTTATTTAAATTTTATATATTCTTCAAATTGAATTTGATGCCTTTCATTTAAAATTAATGTGTAAACTTTTAAGGTTTTCGCATTACATCTATTCATATACGTCCTCCTTGTCGGCGACGTATTTAATGATGTCGGCAGGTTTCAGAAGCTTCTCAGCATCCGAGTCTGGAATCTCAAAGCCAAACTCATCCTCCATGGCCATGATAACCTCTACGTGATCCAACGAGTCCAAGCCCAGATCATTGATGAAGTGAGAGTTCACATTGAGCTGCAATGATAGTAGAATTATAAATTGCAATTAAGAAAATAGTTTTAATATTATGGCAGCTTTGTTCGTTTCTTTGGACGGCACAATAGATTAATTCAACTGGCAAAGGCAATTATATCATTGAATTAAATGCGCCTAGGCCAAGAGCTTGGTCTTTTACCTTGCTGGGATCGATCTTATCGTACAGCTTCAACACAAGCAAGACACGCTCGTTGATAAGCTTCAGCGACAATGGCGGTTTCGCCGAATAACTGCGCAATGATTGCGTTTGCCAGCGACATCTGCTGTCCTGCAATGTGCGCAGCCCCAAAAAGAAAAGAACAAAAGAAACCAAGTTAGTAGATTCTCGTATAGATCACTTTACCTTATCGGCAGTCACTTTGTCGTAGGCTGATACGACTTTCAATACACGATGCTCAATTTCTTCAAGAGTGTTCCTCGCCGAGTAGTTGCGAATTGTAAACATCTGTTTCTGTAATAATGTAATATTAAAAATTTGCTCCAACCTTACAGAATTGCCGGTTAATAAATCCACAAGAGGGGTTTGATCACAAAAATATGAATGTGAAAATAGGTGCTGGAATATACGATAGGCACTGCTAGATATTATTTCTTCCTTTGACAAATCCAAGTACGGCAATTTTGTAGACACTTTTCCCGTAAATGACTTCAATACCCCGTCGAGTTTTTTACAATGAGGTTAGGGACGCAACTAATTAATTTTTAAAACCTAAACGCCTTTTACAAATGTCTTAAGCTAATTATTGTGAGCTTACTTGAGTGAGTTGACTGCCAATAGCAGGCATGGCAATTCGGTGCATCATCCTAGACTGTGTCTGTACAACGGTTTTGGCAATGCGAACTGTGTGCAGAGCAGCCGCAAATCGGCCGCAGCTACGTGCGACTTGTGTGAACGACATCTTTTGTTTAATCTGGAATACAAATGAAATATAGTAATTTCTGATTGCCTACAATGCGATGTGCAGTCGCTTATAACAATATTTACACCGAATTTCACACAAAACGGGGGCTCAGATTATGTAAAAGTTCTGGAGGAGCAAAGGCAGCACAGATGTTGAATAAGTATCGATACCAAACTTATTAGCATCGATGTATTATGAAAGTGAATGTGATTCGTTGTGAACGGCTCAAATCGAACAGCTGCCATTCAATAAAATCATTTACTGCTGTTTGGCTAGTGCTGCTATGTTATAAAATATTTATGTGTCACAATATTTTAATTAATCTTTTCAGTGTGGTGTTTATTATATTTGCCTCAGATAAATATATAAGAATTATATACACACATTTTAATTTTTTTAATACCATTTATATAGTTTTAAATTGCGCGCCTAATTTATTATTATCGGAATAATAGTAAAAGATATTATTTATTTTTGAAAAGCTTATTTACCACTTGTAATACATATGTGGCACATATAAAATGTATTGCAAATATGACGTTCTTTATCATTTTTAAATTATTTAAATTATTTTATTAAATGTTGGTTACATTTTGCACACTAAAAGCATTATGTTTTAGACCACTTTACAACACCACCATTTGTTATCGTGCTCAGATGTTATGTTTTTTCGTATCTTATAAGTCTACAAAACTAAATTTTGTGTTTGTTTTGATATCGGAACACCTGTATAATCAATATAAATATTAAATATTGGATGCGCCTCTAAAGTTCTAAGAACAGAATAATGTTAAGGGATTTGATTACGTGGGTCTTAAATACCTATCTCGGGAAGTATTTAGAAAATTTGAACTCTGCTCAACTGTCTGTTGCACTGCTATCAGGTACAAAATAATACAAATACTATTACGAAATAAAATACTTATTTCATCATATAAACTCTAGGGGAAGTCGAGCTCGAAAACATTCCCATCCGAAAGGATGCGCTGCGCTCGTTCGGCCTGCCCATAGAAGTCTCGGCAGGTAGCATAGGTAAAATAAAGCTCCAAGTGCCGGTTCGTCAGTTTCGTACTTCGCCATGGTGTATTTCCGTGGAAGGGCTCTTCTGCGTCGTCACGCCAAAAGACTTCGAGAACTGGGATGAAGTGAAGGAGAAACTCCTTAACCTGGAGTATAAGCAATCTGTGTTAGACACTGCAGAGGCCAAATGGCGCTCTGAAAAGGGAAAGCAAATAGAATCATATTACTTTTCTTCGTATAATAATTGGCTCAAATATGGCACGAATATGGCAACAAATATCATTGATAATATTGAACTTAAAATATTTGATGTTCACTTTCGATACGAAGATGTTGTTGATGTGGGCAAAAGCAAAATTGCGACTGGCATCAAAATTGGTTCTCTAACTGCACAAAGCTGTGATTGCAACTGGGCGACGGGCTCCAATAAATCGGTTAATAATGATATTAATTTTAAGGTCGTTGAGCTGAAAGAGCTATCCCTGTATTGGGACACATTGCACGATGACATTAAATGTCAGAAGTTCACAAATCAAGAGCTTCTAACCAATATGAATCCAACATGCCAACTGCGCCCACATGAGTTCATAATCAAGCCCATTAGTGCAATAGCCAGATGGAAGCGCGAAAAATCTCCCCAAGTGATACGCTCAAAAGACAAACCACGAGTTTCTTGTGATCTTCTAGTACCTGAAGTTATAATTGTGCTAAGCAAGGTAAGCTAAATCGAATTGAGGTTCAATAATTAATGCAACTTAATTTCCGCTTCAGGCTCAGCATGATGAAATACAGGATAAATTGGCTGGAATTCAACAGATAAAGGAAATTTGTCAATTTCGTTTGAAAAGACCAACCTACAGTATTAAGGAAAATCCAAGAATGTGGTGGAGATATGTTCTCATTTGTTATGGCCGTGAACTTAAAACAAAAGATGAAAAGTTTCTAACGCTCAAAGAGAATTTGCGTTACATGAGGATTTGTCAAGCAGTTATATTGAATCCCAACGAAAACTTGTCCAATGATGACAAAGAATTTAAAGCGTATATTGAGAGTGATAGAAAAGTCGCAGATCTAATCATAATGCGTAGAATATGCTTTGATAAAGTGTACTCAAAAGGCATTTCAATTAAGTCGGACCAAGTCAAAGGCAGGGGAATGCTATTTCATTGGTTTCCCAACTGGATGGGCTGGTATGGAAACAATTCGACAGCCTCTGCAGAGCAGGATGAATCATTACAAAATTTAGAAGATGATATTTTGGTTGCACTGGAGCACTCACTACAGAGTCAATCTCACATGAAATGTGATACAATATTTGGATATTTTACTATTGAGCTCCTGAAGGGTTTCATTATCTTACAAACCGAAGAATCGACAAAGAGCGATGATAGCAAATCAATTGAAATGCAATTTAATAATTTGTCATCTTTTCTACAGTTGAATCCCTTATTTACTTCATATGTGGTTGGCATATCATTGGGAGAAGTTTATTTATTAGATAAAACCAACAAGGACTCAAAGCATTGTTACTTAATTAAACCTCAGACTGATCGATCGACAGCAATAAATTCGCCGGACATAAAGCAATTGGTTAATTCCACAAACAAACAAGATCCATTATTTCAATTGCAATATGAAAATGATGATCAGCTACAATACCGTCTTATAATTAAATCAAAAAGTTTAGATTTAATATACAATCAAGATGCCGTTGATTGGTTTTTAAATTTCTTTACCCCTTCCAATAAAGTGCAGTATTTAACTAGAGATAAATATAGTAGTGAAAAAGAGCGAAAGTTTCTAAGCTCTTGGAATCAAATGTTTCTAGGAAATGAGGTAAGGGCTTGTATTATAATAATTTTAGTTATATTATATCAGAGAATTTTTTTCATTTTTTTTCAGGCGAATAGAAAGATTTGGACTTTTGAAATTGAAGTATTTGCACCACGAATAATATTTTTGGAAAATTACAAAATCGAAAATTCGCTGATGGTTTTAATGGATTTTGGCAAACTCCAATTAATCAAATCGGACTTTCAGAAGAAAGCATCAACATTTATATCGAAAGCAGAGGATACTTGTCCAACAGATGAGAATGGCGAAATCGATGAAGATGATGATGATGAGACCTATTTGACTCCCTGCTCAACTCCACCTGGTTCAGAGAAAAGCGGTTCGGAATCGCCAACGATAAATGAAAATATGTTCAAGGACTTATTGAACAAGAACACTCAACTGGAATCGGCATTGCATAGTAAAATCTATAATACATATACTATAAATTTTACCAATTTGCAAGTATTAGTATGCAAATACCAGGAGAGATGGCAAGCGAGCTTGAAGACTTCTTCTAACTTTCATTTAATTGATAAATTCAACATCACGCTAACAGTGGAACAGCGTATTGTCTTCACATCGGACCCGGAATATCCGTCTCTCACTTTGTTCGGAACGTGCCCTATGATATTAATACATGGCAATGAGAACAAAATAAAACACTTTCTAACTATAATTCATCCAATTACCAACAGTCCCAGGCTAAAGAATAATAAACCAACAAATGAAACCGAAAATCGAATACCAACAGATGAAACTAGTCAACCATACTATAATGCAGATGGCAGCCATTTGGTTGTTCAGTTTGGAATTGGGCAACTGATCATCGAGATGCAATCTAAAGAAAAGAGCATTGCCGAATTGCAAATTATTGGAGCTAGAGCCGGTCTGGTGACAACGGGAAAGGAAACCACAATAACAATGTCTGTCCATGGTCTGCTGCTTGTAGACGCAATTCAGTCTTTTGGTCCAGACTTTGAGCTCTTGGTTGCTAGCCATCGAAATGTGGGGTAAGTACTTAATAGTATAACATATGTTATACGAATTAGTTTATGGCTTAAAACATAATATCATATAGTTAGTGGAAATTACAATCTAGCCATTGAGTCATAGACTCCGTCCAATTTTATATTATAAATAAATGCAAAGGAGTGAGTGTATATAGCTGGCAGAATAGGGCGTGGCATGTCCTAAAAAGTACATATATTTTTGATCAGGGCCATATGCTGATATGCACCAAGCATGTATATAAATATGTCTGCCTGTGTCGTCGGAGTTCACTAGTATTTGTGTCCTATAGAAATAGAAGAAGAGTTCAATAGGAACAGTTGAATTGTGTATGAGTGTTTACAAATGAGCGAGCTGGGACACCGAAGTTATTATTTGGCGTCAAATGAGAGCAACTCACTAACACAGAAAAGGTTTGAATTTGAGTGAGAGCGTCGCCCTATATAAAAGGAGGTCTGCAGCAGCAGTTCTTCAGTCGTTTTTCTGACCTGAGGCTCGATGGTTCAAACCAGTGCAGTGTTTCTTCTTCTTCTTCTGGATGTGCTAGTGATATTAATTATAGTAAACTGAATTGTAATAGTTATACTTATAATTTTTAAGTGTATATTTTAATTGTGTATAATAATTGTTGCATATTTATGTATGTATGTGATCACTGCTGCTGATTATTATTATTGATAATTGATCATTATGTAAATGGTTATTAAGGTAATTATCATTAAGATAATGGTCATTAAAAATAATATAAGTGAATATTATAAGAAAATACTTGTAAAACAATATTGTATGTCTAATTAGACATATGCCACTTGTCTTATACAATTATTAGAATACACCAAATATGATGTTATGAATTTCTAAGCATAACTATTAATAAGAACTATTAATAAGAATTTAGGACTCACTTGTGTCGTATAATACTTAGAATATATAAAAGACAGAATTTGGTCTTTCTTTTTGCCCTGGTAATTTCTATTAACTAACTATGCATATTGATGTCCACTCTTATTCTATTCTTTGAGTTTTCTGAACAAATATTTATTTACTTTAACTTTTATTTGATTTCAGTATGGACAGTTTTTCTGGAAGTCTTAAGCATAGCACAGCCTGCTCGCCAGTTACTCCAGGATCTCCAGACTCTTCAATATATCACAGGCCCACAAGTCCACATATAATCACAAAGGCTGTGCAAAATATTCAAAGTGGTAATTAGAATCTATTTGTTTCTAATCGAGAAAACTTATATGGACATAAATACTTCTAGGTACATCAATGGATCGCGATGAAGAAAGTGAATTGAATGCGCTCATTAATATTGATATCAATATTGTTCAATCCGATACGAATAAGTCCTCCTTTCTACACACATCCAAAATATCATTCAATAGCTTGGAAATAATTGGTTTGTATTATTATAAGTAATAATATTTATAAAATTCGAAGTCTTTTGTGTTTTACAGCCAATCAGGAAACAATTTTGGAGCTTTTAAATTTTGCTGAACGTATTTTTCGTGGTCAAAAGATGTTCGAAAATATTGGAGATAGCGTTGATAGAGAACCGGCGCTGGAGCTTAAAGAAACTGATGGCTCTCTAGACCATAACCAACACGAAATAATCTTTGATTTCTTTCGTTTAAATGTCTTAATACTCTACACCATAAAACGTGATAAATATGAAATAGCCCGAAAAGTAGGCACATTAACAGTCAGCGAAGCTAAAATCAATGTTTCCATGCAATCAAGCCTATCAATTAATGGCTCTTTGGGAGGCATACAAATCATTGATATTACTCCACAAGGTGTACGATATCAACGAATTCTGTCCATTGGTCGAGATCCAGAGTCAGAAACGAATCGGCAGTCAGTGCTAAATAAACTCTCGAACGAAATATACTTAAATAACGTCGAAGATGAAATATGTGAGCAAATCGATGCTCTAAGTTTCACAAATCTCTGGGGCGATAATAATGCTGTTAGTCTAAGTGTTCGAATGGCCTCTGTATCATATACACACAGTCCGAGATTTTTGCAAGACTTTAATTTTTGTATAACAAGTTTCAAACAGGGACTGAAGTAAGTTTCCGACGAAGTTGCGCAGACGTTTATAATTTATATTTAACATAAAATTTATCTTACAGAGAGTTTGTAACTTCCATTGGAAACAAAGCCACGGACATGGCTAAAGAATTTGTGCAGCAAATCAAAGATGTTAATTATCAGACGAAACCACCGCAGCCAAATAAAAATCAAGAAAATTCGTTGATATCGTAAGTTGCATAAATGCATAATAATTGTACAACATTTGTATATTGTCTAATTATTCAACATATTATTTCAGACTGGATGTTATTATAAGTAGTCCTATCATCGTTCTGCCCATTTCGAATGATAGTAAAGAAGTTTTTATTGCTAATTTGGGAAAAATTAGTGTGCGTAACAATGATATTCATCAGAAGATGAAGAACATTAGCGAGGATGTGATAGTTAAATATGCTATCGAAGTGAAAAACATCAATTTATTTTCATTAAATATTGATGAACAGAAGGAAGACTGGACCTACACTTTACCCATAGCAAGCAAAATGTATGAAAACAAACAGGATGCTTTTCCCATCCTGCACGACACGGCAATATCATTAAATGTGTATACAGGGTACAACGATACAAAAGACGATGAACGGCAACTTCAAACTCTATTGGTAAGTGATTAATATAACAGGATTTTTAAGTATAAATAAAAATATTGCTAAAATTTTTTAGGTCGAGGGCAGCATGGTTGAAACGTTAAGAGTAACACTGTATCGAAAACAATACAAGAACTTAATGGAGGCCCTTCAAAATGGAACTAATTTTTCAAGTGGCTCGGATAATGTAAAACTAAAAATGGCTAATGCGAATGTACCGAACGAGAATGTAACTGATGTACAACGTATGAAAACAACTGTAAAGTTCTCAGTGCCTGTGCTGGAGATCAATTTGCAAAATGAAAGCCACGAGCCCCTGGTAAATGTTACTTTTAAAGACTTCTTTGTGAAGCATCGCACGCGAGACCAAGATGAGGATCTGAAAGTCGTTTTGAACTCTGTGCTAATGGAGGACTTGAAATCCGAAATATCGTCGCCGTTCAGAAATATGGTTACCTCGATTAATGTCGAGAAGACTTATCAAAGGAAAGGTCGAACGTCGTCATCGTGTCCCGATTTACCCAGTTATTGTGCCAAGCACAAGTCTATATCAACATCCATATCCAATTTGTGCGAGCACATTAAGCAGCGAGAAATCCAAAAACACAAAGCAGGTCTCTGTAAGTCAAATGATATTGCTGAGAGGAAGGGCAACAATTTAGTCATCTATAGATCGCATACGAGGCGGCTTTTAAAGGTTGAAAAGCAGAATTCCATCGAGTTCAATTGCTTGAACTTGATGATTTGCGTAGACAGATGGTATACGATATTTGATTTCTTTGGCTTGGTGGCCGATACGGAAAAAACACAGTCCCTGGCTGAACAGAAAAATAGTTTGCCAAAAAGTGAGTACAAATTTCTAATCTACTCTAGTTTCTTTTATATAATACTAGTGTTTTTTATTTAGGTGTTTCTGAATTCAGCAGCAAACTGAATGTGTCCATACGTTCACTAAACTTTACATCGACTCGCAATGAAGCTGTATTATCTAGAATAAATGTATCCAATGCAACATTTTCGATAATACAAGAAGCTACTTACAAAGCTGTTGAAGGCTGCTTGGGTTCCATAGCTGTTTACGATCTAACCAAATACGGATATATATATAAAGAACGTTTCTTAACGAGCGGCTCAGAAGCTTTAAATTTTGTATATAAAAGGTAAATAGACTCGAAGCAGACGAAAATTTATATATGGTATATTCGTATTCATTTGTTCTCAAGAAAAATCCCGGACATTGAGACACCGAATAGCATTAATGCTGATGCAGTTCTTTGGATAAACATGTCATCGGTTCACTATATTCACACCAAACGTTTCATAGTTGAACTTCATTTATTTGTCAAGGAGCTCTTGCAACTACAAACTGTAATATTTAATTCATTCTTATATATATATGGAATTAATTGAAGTTCCTATTTGCAGCCCGTAATCAGAAAGTTGAAGAAACACAATGTCGATAGGATACAGAAAGATCAGCCCACCAAAATAAAATTGTGCATTCAAGCCGCTTCGCCTGTGATTGTCTTACCCGCCTGTTACAACAGCAATCACGTATTGATTGCATATCTCGGGCAGTTTACACTGAAGAATAGCTTTCACTTCTCGAGCGAGGAGTGCATCATAAGCAAAAAGGGAAAGGCAACAAAAACTCACGATGAAATTTTGGACGTTATGCACATTGATTTGGTCAACATCAACTTATTTTCGGGCGAACGTAGTGTGGATAAATTGGAGAGCAATTACGACAAGGAAGTCTTTATCAATATTGCAAATACGTGCTTTGTGAAGGGCAGTCGATTATTTAAGGAATCATGCTACCTAGACCTTCAGGTCGAACGGAATTTATCAACGGATAGCATACGCGTCTGCCCCGATATCAGTGTGAAGGGAACTTTCTCCAAATTGAACGCAACGCTCAATATACCAAATTACAAGCTAATTCGTGGCCTGCTAAATAACAATATTGGCGAGCCCATAGATGATGTGTACTACAACAGCTATAATAACACAAGTTCCTCTATTGAAGCCTTTTCTGCCTTGAGTCTATTTTCCAAAAACGAAGACACCACAAATGTTATAACATTACTTTCGATAAGAATACTGCTCGAAGATGTCTCCATAATGGTGGTTCAAAACACAAACACGATGCCAGACTTTGTGCATGAGTCGCTGGCTTGTATACACTTCATCAGATCGCAGCTGGAAATTGATATGCTAAACGATGGCTCACAAGATATTGATCTGATATCAAGTAACATTTTAATTGTGGATGAGAGGCCAAGCGATGGCTCAAACAATGGGAATGTATTTAGAAACATATTGCAGCCGTCCAAGAAAGAAACAGTTCCAAAGCATTCAGCTCAAGTGGAAATTCATTGCAGAAAACGCTTGAATCTATGCAAGTATACGATTATGTTGAACGACATGAGAGTCATTGGAATTTTAGACTTTTTGGATAGTTTAAAAAAGTTTTTCGAAGAAGAACCGTTGACTGCAGCCGCCGTAAATCCAAGAGCTGCACAACTCACTCAAACAGATCATACTCAGACGGCAGATAATTCGGTTTCTGAATATATTATAAATGTGACAGACTCTGAAATTATATTTGCCGAACAGTGCAATCGACTTGACTCAAATGCCGTTATATTAAAGAGCACAACCGTAATTTCGTATAAGCCACACAACCATTGTGTACCACTGTCCATCAATATAAATCATTTGGAAATATTCTCATGCATTCTGGATGCTGAAGATGACAGTGCGCTGTCCATAATCGATCCATTTACTCTGAACGTCGAGCTGAGAAATAATTGCCTAAATATTGTTGTGCAAAAGCAATTGAATATACGATTGTCTTACATCGACATGAAACTGTTTCTGAGAATGATCAGTTCCATACCCACGCAGGCCTCAACGCCGCCGAATGTTTTGTCGAAATCGAATTCGGAATTCGAAAAGATCGCCCCGCTCCTGGCTATGGGATTTGAGATAACGAATTGCTGGGTTGCCATGGAACTAAACAATTGGAAATTAAACGATGCTGCTCTATGGTTGTCCCAGCAGAAGCGCAGCACAGCGCGAAATCCCGCAATGGAATTGAAGACTGCAGTGTTGGATGCCAATTGCATATCCATGTGCGTAATCGATGATTGCATGGATGCCGATGTGCCGCTCCTTGAAATATCACTGACAAAGGTTTTGCTAAAGTACAAATTCCAAGCGAACCTGATGGAAGCTGAAAACCTAAACTCAAATACAGCTGAGGGAGATCTGGACACTGAAGTAACGCTCAACTATTACAATCGGCGACTCAGTGGCTGGGAGCCGCTTGCCGAAATGTGGCAATGCGCTGCGAAGTGGAAATATAAAAAGACCCATTTCGATAAGAAGAAGCGATTTGAAGTCTTCTTGAATAGCAAACAATTGCTCAAGATAAACATAACTTCCACTCTGATCGAACTCTTTCACATGGTTTCCAAAAATTGGACCAGTGATTTCCATTCCCTAGATAATGCCAATTTCCGTCAACGTGCGCCCTTTGTGCCCTTTGCCTTGCAAAATCTGACTGGCTCTGCGCTACTCTTCAAGCCCATCTACGCTCAGCTTGGGGACTTGACGTGCTCGGACTTCCAGCAGTTGGACATAATTAAAAACTGGACGTCAGTGCAGCCTGAAGAAACAAAAACCTTTGATTTCAGCCAGAAAAGTAAACTGCGGCACATTGATTCACATCGATTAAATCTACATCAGATTCTAGTCCAAATCCATGGCTGGACCTTGATTGGTCCCATTTCTATAGACAAGGTGGGAATGTATTTCCGATCAACAATACTCGACGCACATTATGAAAAGAAAACCCGTATAATTTTTGATATTTCCCTGATGGGCTCTGCACAAAAGCTGATCAAGGTAATGTCCCCTTTGCGCGTGATCAACAAATTGGATCATGATATATACCTGAAGATGGTATTAAATAAAAATCAAGTCGATGCAGCCTCAGCTATAACCACCATTCGGCCAGATGATCAGCAGTGCGTGCCATTGAAGTTTATAGACGCCGCTCTATATATCTCTCATATACCATGTGATCCTAAGTCCAAGTCCAAAAATGAGGATGTCGGGTTCAGCAATGAGGAAATCGCTTGGAAGCAGTGCGGCAATGACGGCATACAAGAGTTGTACAGCTGTTACGATGCCAATAAAAGCATATTGTATACACTCGTCAGCATAAGCAGGGAAATGTATCCCTATAAAGATCAAAATATGCCCGGTCATTCAATTACACTTCTATCGCCTCTAATGCTCAAGAATATGCTCTGCTGTGATCTAAGTTATAATATAAATGGATCGAGTACTGGGCGTATTAGCGCCTTCGAAAGCATAAATATTTATAATAGAAATATAAACCAATCGTTCAACTTGAGCATCACCTTAGATAATTTTCAAGTTTCTGGCCAGTTAAAGGTGCCAGCGAATCATAACGGAATAGTCGAGCCGAAGTTAAAGCTACTCGATGCTAAGAACAGAGAGCTCCATCTCCACGTATCAATACAATCCCTGAAGGGCAGAGGCATGGAAATATATATAAGTGCGCCCATTTGGATTGTGAATAAGTCCGGTCTTCCATTGATTTACAAACAAGAGGGCACCAATAAGATAGCAGCTGGCCAATTTGAGGAGCACGAACGCGCTCGACAAGTTTCGCCCTTAATGTTCTCCTTTTCCGATCAAGAAGGATCTCCCAATCTGGAAGTGAGATTGGGCAACACCTTCGGTGCCAACAATCAGGTGAGTTAACTAAACTGGTTTGCAAAGTTTATATTAATTTTAATATATCTATTTTGCAGTGGTGCAAAAGCTTCAGCATGATCAAGAACATAACATATAGGGAACTGCGCACAGAAAGCGGACCGGGATGCTATAAGATTGGCATAAGGGTTCGCCGTGGCCGAGGTTTATATGCGAGCACAACATTTGTGACATTGTCTCCGCGTTTTCATCTCTACAACAAAAGTGGCCACCAGCTGGAGTTTACACAGAAATGTAATATTGTGCATAATGTAAGTGCCTAAAATAATACCTAAAGCTAAGAATTAATAATATTATTAATAACTTCCTTTATTTTAGGACGTCACCAATGCCAGTCATGTCATCTCAGCGCCCGTTGATTGCAATTTTCCTTTTCACTGGGCCAATTGGGATCGAGAGCCATTGATTTGTGTACGAATAGCAGATGTGGAATGTTGTTGCTGGTCTAAGGGCATACCGATTAATGAAGTCCAGAGTTTGTATATCAACATACGCAATGAATGGTGTGAAATGTTTTTCCTAAGATTGGAAATCATATCGAGAGGTGCCACGTTCATACTTCTGTTCACGGATGCTCGTAGTTTGCCACCTCCCATTAGAATTGATAACTTCTCTGAGGTGGTTATCAATTTCTCACAGAAGGGCTCGAAGCCTATTTGGCCTACGCCTGTGCGACCACAGTCAGCCTTATCATATGTCATGGATGATCCCTTGGGTGGCAAGACATTGCTCATGGAAGCGCCCGGAGGAAACATAGTTGAGTTTCCAATTGAAAATGCGAACATGAGTAAAACTTTGACCTACTCCAACTTCATATACATTGCGTTCCACGACACCTTCGATCAATTCAAGCGAGATGGCGACAAGCCAGATGACAAATTCAAACAATTAGTGCTGGGTGTTAATGACAAAAAGGTCGTCATAATGGAAAAGAATTCTGGAGATCGTTCGCAGTTGTGGCTGATGAATTCGAATGGCCAACTGGAGCATGAGGGCTCAACACCACCGGTCCAAACGAACGAAGCAAGCGCTGTGCGTTTGGTATTAGATTTAGAAAAACCACCGAATCCGACCGAGTTTACAGCGCTAGTAGTACGTACTCCCAATAAACAGAGGGCCACGACTCAGACGTGGAGATTCGAAAACGGACGACTCATGTGTCATGCGAATATGTGTGTGCAGGTAAGATAAAATATATAACCATTTCTTATGCATATAATTTCTAATCGTGTCTCTTTTAACAGTCTCCACCTCATAAACATGGTCTAAGGGCTGGCGCTGAGGCAGTTGTCGGACGTATTAGGCATAGCTCAAAATGTCGCGACTTAACGCCACGCGAACAACATCTGGTTGCCCAAAAATTACGTCCTGGCTCTGGGCAATTGGAAATTTCGACCAAAATGGATGGGCCAATTTGCACAGTTCAAATATGTGATATTAAACTAAAGCCAAATGAAACATTTCTGGCACCAGATTTACTTTGGACCCATGCATCGTTCAATAACAGACCCATCGTTGATAAGGCAAAATCGAATGCTTCGCATGAGTATCAGGTAACGTGGCATATAGTTTTAACATTTTATTCAAATGATTATTCAATTATCTTTTAAATTTCAGATAAATGTCGAATTGCCTAAGGGCATAGGAATTTCCATAATAACATTAAAGCCCTGTGAGGAGATCATCTTTATTAGCATGGACAACATAATAGCCGAGTTCATAGATACACCTGTTCAGAAGTCAATCGATCTAAATATAGCCTACATACAAATTGACAATCAACTATTGGACTCAGCTAGCCAAGTGACCCTGCATAGCTGCTTGCCAAATAAAGACGACGAACAGAAACAGGAAGCTGTGCTGCTTGCCGTTAAGCTGTTGCCCAGTCCCAACAAGAATGCTTTAATATTTCAGTACTTGACGTTGGATGTTAAGCCCTGCATAATGTACCTAGAGGAGAAGCTGATACTGAAGATTGCTTCCTTTCTTGGTTATGGCAAAGAAAATCTACAGGACTCGTTCTTGCCTTCGGACTATGAAGATTTTAAGGACAGATCATTTGAGGATGATATGAAAAGATTTTACTTTGAAAAATTTTATATTGGTTCGACTCAGGTAAATGAGAGTTAATTACTTAGCTTATATTTTCTTAACTTACATTTCTATTCAATATTAATTAATAGGTTCGCCTTTCTGCCTATACTGCATCTAAATTGCCTGAGGATTTACAAAGAACCAAAAAATCATTGGGCCTCACTTTGATCAAATTTGAAGATGCTTTAATAGAGCTCGATCATTTCTCTCATAAATATCATTTTGAGACAATTGATGTTTATCTGCGAGCGATAAAGATGCACTATATAAACCAAATTAAGTGGCACGCAGCAGCGATATTGGGAAGTGTTGATTTCTTAGGAAATCCTTTGGGATTCGCCAACGATCTCTCTGAAGGTGTATCTGGGCTGATCTTTGAAGGCTCTGTGAAAAGTCTGGTTAAAAATGTAACCCATGGCATTTCCAACTCGACAGCAAAGCTAACAGAAACCTTATCGGATAGTTTGGGAAAGGTTGTGCTGGATGATCACGACAACGAAACGAGACAACGAATTTTGGAGCTACAATCAAATACATCTGGAGGTCATCTTGCTGCTGGCATAAAAGGCTTTGGGTTTGGTTTGCTTGGAGGAGTCACTAGCATTGTTCGACACACATACGATGGCGCCCATGCCGATGGTGTTCCAGGCTTCCTCAGCGGCTTGGGCAAAGGACTCGTGGGCACTGTGACGAAACCAATTATCGGAATGCTCGACCTGGCCTCAGAGACGGCCAGTGCTGTTCGAGAAACTAGCAGAGATTCACAGCGCCAGGCACCGAAAAGAAAACGCTTGCCAAGATGCGTGACAGGCGCGCCTGGTGGTCTTTTACCACCATACTCCAGTCGTCAAAGCAAGGGGCAAGAGTACCTTTACATAATAAACCGCAAAAACTTTGTAGAGAAAATAATATTCTATGAGCCAAACCTGTGGAGTGACAAAGAGGCTAGATTACGGCTCCTCATTTCAACGGAATATGTTCGCATATTCTCAATATGCGAAGGCAACCCAACTGTTATGTTTGAGTGCCACCTCAGTGAAATTCTATCCTGTCATCCTTTAACAACTAATACGGGCAATACCCCATCTGCAAGTAAAGTAACATCGAGTTACTACATTGAAATATCAACAAACTTACCAAAGATTACCCGACCACGAATTCGTTGTCGAACAGAGGAATGTGCTGAGGCTGTGTCTAGATGTGTAAGTAGAGTGCTTATAAGAAACAAGACGATAATTGCCTATTGCTTATATATCTATATTATAACGACTATGTCTTTCCTTACAGATTAATTATGCTAAAAGTGTCTTCGATGAACGCGAGCTGTCTCTATTGAAATATAATTAATATTATTAACACATTAATTTTTTATATATATATTTATGTATAAAATGGGTTTTTTGATTATGAAATAAATGACTGAACTATATGCTTTAAGTTGAATGCTACAGAAAACTAACACCAAATGAAATTCCCTCGAAAACACTTCCCATATCATAAATATTCCTTATTCTAATTTCTTATATATTCCTGTTTTACATTAATTAATAGGTAAATGGTTAATACAATTAACCAGTTAAGACACACTTTTATTGCATTTTATCGATACTTATTTTTGGTTGTTTATTAAAAGCCGTTCCTATATTTTGTAAAGATAACAAATTATATAAAACATGGTATAATTACTTAATTATGCTTGAGTCAACTTAAGTCAGTTCTCTCAATAATCGGTTAAAATATAAATATTTTGTTTAAGTAATTGTAGAAATATAAAAAAAAACACAGTTTTTATTTGTAATAAGATTTGATTTTAGATTTTATACCGTCATTGAGAAAATTGACGAAATTAATATTAAGGAATGAATAAATAATGTTAATGTTCGAGTTAGCTTATGTATAAGGAGCACACTGTTTCCACAATTACGATTGACGACAAAGAATGTGCTTAAGGCTTTATGGATTTCTGGAAAAGAGACAACAGAATAAATTAGTTATTGGTAGTGTTGAAACTTAAACGAAACTGTTTTGTCTATTTTTTAAGTGAACTTAACTTATTGTGTTGTTAAAATAAATGTGCATTTATACTAACCAATCCTGCATCTCTTCATCTTCGCACTCATCAAAAGTGCAGAATTGCAAATAAATATCTTGATTGTTCTACTTGTTCATATATATCGAGGTATATTAAACATGCATTATAAATTAATTTCAATTCGTTAATTTACCTCATCCGAAAAGTCCATATCATTCATCTGCTTCGATCGTCGCTTTTCAGTCGACGTCAGAAGTTGTGCGACCTTAGTTTGTTTAGCCAAATCGTAGGCCTCTTTTTTACTGCGCATGGCGCAGTCCTCAAGAGTTTCAGCTGCCTCGAACATACCCTGACGTCTGTAGAGTGCGCCCAGGTTCTTCAGCGTTGTTGTAACTGTGGGTGAGTCGACCTTAGCAGCCTTGTGCCATCCTCCGTACTCTCCATATGGTGTGTTCTCACGTTTGTCATATTTGTGTTCTTCGCGCTCCTCAGCCACCTAAAATAAACAAAAACGAAAAGGCATTAATGAAAATTAGTTATAAAGAAAAAAGTTTATTAACAGATTTATGTAAAGCACAATCACACATTTCTTAAGTGATAAAAATGTAAAATAAACCGCTTATGTAGAATGCACATTCGGTACCTATTGGATTAATTTAAGCACCAACTTACTTTAATCAAAAACAAACGCAAATACTATACAAATTCTTGAAATTACCTGCCAAATGGGTTTATTTTTGCTATCAATCGCACCAAACTCCCGCTCATGGGCTCTTGTCAACACCTGCTTGTAAAGGATTTCAGCTTCTGCGTATCTTCCTTGCTTTAGATAGCATCCAGCCAAATTGTTCTTCGTTTTAGCCACATTCGGATCATCGGGACCAAGTTTTGATTCATATATATCAAGAGCTCTTTGATAGTATTTCTCAACTTCATCATATTTGCTTTGGTTTTGGCAAAGCAGAGCCAAATTATTTAGTTGCTTTGCAACATCTGGATGGTCCTTGCCCAAAACTTTCTCGCGTATTTCAAGAGCACGCTTGCAAAGTGGTTCTGCATCCTTGTACTTGCCACGCTTGCCGTAGAGCACAGCTAAGTTGTTTAAAGTTGCTGCTACGGCTGGATGATTCTCTCCCAAAGTCTTGCCGCGAATAGACAGAGCATCATTCAATAAATTGGCAGCCTCCTTGTACTTGTTCTAAAAGATATATTAGTAGATATTAATTATGTTTATGAGATTACTTATAATTTATACTAACTTGATCACGGTAGACAAGAGCTAAAATGTTTAACATTGTTGCCACATCGGGATGATCGTGACCACTGGTCTTTTCAAGATCTTCAAGTGCCTGCTTGCAAAGCGGTACTGCTACTTCATATCTGTGAAATATATTTATATACATATATTATAATGCATTTTTATAAAATGAAAATTTCATTAATTTCTTTACATTCCACTAATCCAAAAGAACATACATATATTGGATATTTCTAATTACATACCTGCCCTGTGATGCATATTGAATCACAAGATTATGAAGAGTGCGCAATCTGGCTGGTATTTCGTAGCCAGAAGTTTGATTGGCAAACTGGCTAGGAGGCGTGGGTGACATATTGTGTCTATCATCATTTTCTTCATCTGGAAAGAGCTCTACAACTGGATCGTTGCGGGACTTCTCGCAGGATTCATCTTGCTCTTGATTGTCATCATATTTTCGAACAGATGCCATAAATTCAAGATGTTTCTTTTCCTCTTCGAGTTGTGCCACTAGTTGTTCAGATGCTTGGAATTTCTGTTGGGTGTTGGCTAGCTCGTCGCGTAGCCAGGCATTTTCTTGATGAAGACGGCGAACTTGTGTTTTGAGTTTTTGTTTTTCAGCTTCGATGTTTTGCAAGTGCGATGTTAGGGCCATCATGACCTGCGCCTCGCTCAAGCCAAGTTCAATGCTTTCTATGTTCTTTCGTAATATATCAGATTTCTCATTATCTTTTTGAACTTCGGATATTCCGTTCATAATCGAAACATGTTCAACGCGCAAGGCTTCCAAGCCTTGCAAAACAGTTTTTGTATTGCTTATAATTTCGTCTTGCGACATCTGCGTCATTTTGCCGATTTGCTCAATTTTCTGTCTGCAGAAAAAGAAAAAACGTATACTTACAAAATGTGGAAAAGTATATAAAAATTGTATGTTATAACGAAACAATATGACAGTTAAATGAAGTTGACTATGATTTTCAATTTATTACATTCTGTAATTTTTGATAGCTTTTGAAACAATCATTTTCACAAAACGCGTGTGGCTCAAAAAAATACTTTTGCACAAATCAATAATGTAAAACTTGCGCATGCGCCGAAACTACAAATTTGTAACTTCGAAGAAACATCCCTAACAATGATTACACACAAAACGCGTTTTATATACTATTTTTTATGTTTTGGTTAAAGATTACGATGTTTTACCAAAGTGTCACAACAAAAGAAAGTTGTTTATTATACGTTCCTTCTTATTTTTAGTCATCTACCCGAATCAAAGAAGAGAATGTAAACATTCACTAATTTCTAAGAGAATGCCGGTATTTCTGATTACATATTAACATACTAATCATCGCATTGTCATCGATAATATTGAAAACACCGCCTGTGTCATCACTGTACACAGCTGCTATTTTTGTGCCAGGCAATTTGTCTTAGGACAAAAATATGTTGCTTAACACAAGAAACAGATACACAGATGAGTTAATAGTTGGGAATGAGATTTATGGTCGAAAGCACTTGCTAGCCAACGTAAACATGCAATATTCTGGAATAATAATGTTCTATGCCTTAAACTACAGCAACAGATTTCAAAACGTCATAGTCATTGCTTTTAGCCTTGCATTCATTATAAACACAGAGCAATTATAAATTAAGTTAGTAAAGAGAATGTATGTACATAGTGAAATCGGGCTATTAACCTACGAATGGTGCACAAGAAACTAGGTACACATTGTTGATGACTAACTCTTATTGCCTCAGAGAAAGACAATTTAATACGGAATACCTTACATATTTAAATAAATACAAAAGTATACGACTTAGGCGCCGTCTGTCTGAAAAGAAACTACTACCATATTATACTTATTTTATGATTGTTGGCGTGTAATAACAATGTGAAATATTATATATGAACATACACACAAACATGCATTCAGATGTAAGTGTGTAGGCGTGCCCAAGTGCTTAAATCGCCATTTACTACAAGAAGCAAATGCTTGGGACTTTCTGTTTAGACTTTATAAATTATTAGATAAGCACATATCTTAAGTATGTACCATATGTAATGTACGCACAACTATATTAATAAATAATATTGCCTTTATATACGCCTCACAGCACATACATATTGCTACACACTTCAGTATACACATACTTATACATGTATGACTTTTCAACGGCACAGTCACCATTTACTTTTTTTTTAATATTTGTACAATTGCATACACACATAAGCAACATATATACAGTTGCGTGTTTTGACAGTAATGTTTTTTCTTGAGTCGAAATAATTATGAGTACATCACATATACATTTCTGCCTCATATTCATGTGTATGGATCTGCTTATTGCACAAATTTACCGCCACCGCATATTTGTATTTATAAAACTGAATACTAATTAGGGAATATAATAACACAAAACTACATGTTTACCCACCAGATTTTAATAATAAATAAATTTAAAAACAAAAACTTACATGCAGAGACAGAACTAATAATGATTAAAAAGATACAGATAATTCCTAATAAATTATGTTATCGAATACATTTATTAAAATACCAAAAAGCTTTAGCCATGTATGGTATTTTTAAAAATAGTATTATTTACTGCTTGTTAAAACTAGTATGCTGACCCAGCTAATTTCTGGTATGAATATTTATCGAATGAATATCGGATGCAAGTCGCTCTAGAAGCTGAAGCCGATCCTTTTTGTTCCCTCCAAGTAATTTACAAAAAAATGATAAAAGTTAATTAACATTAACTGAGTGGAATAGAGAACTAGGATATTCAAACACCATTCTCTTTTGGTAATAGCGCATTTATTTAAATTAATCACTATCATTATCATTTAAAATTGCTGACATAACCTCCGCTAATTCTTCCGCTTTATTTAATAGTTCCTCTCTTGTTAAATGTGTATCACTACGCAAATTTTGCGCTGTAATTAACAGTTTTTCAAAATCATTTAGCTCGTTTTCCAGCTGTTCGGCACTATTTGATTGCTTTCGATTCGAAGCTATAATTTAAAATTTTTGTATCAATAATAATAAAAAAAAAGATGAAGTAAATCACATGTACAACTTACAGGAAGATGCTTTTGTTTTTATGTTAGACCACACAAAATTTTCTAAGCCTTCCACAATTTCTGAATATTTTTCTGGTTCCTCTGAGTCTTCCTCTCCATCTTCTTTCAGTGTTATTATATCAAAAACTACATTTGCATTTTCTTTCAGTTCTTCAAATGTTAATTCATTTGGCTTATCCGATAATGCAGTTGTTATTAAAAATCCCAACTCAATTTTGTTGGACATTAAAAAGTCGTTAATGGCCGAGAGGCTATTTATGAAAGTTCTCTAGAATATTTAAATAATAATTCAATGTTATTAATTCACTAAATATCTTTTAATTATACTTACATCAAATGGATCAAAATATATAATTAAAGCTTCTATTATATTTTTTAATTCAGTTGGAACTCTATCGATCTTCCCATCGAAAGGGATTAAATATATACTCGTAGTGTAATATTTAGTTCTAATATCACATTTATAATGATTTATGACTTCAGCTTCATATGTTATTGGCGTTATTAATTTAGGTTGCTTCATTTCAGTTAATATATCTAAAACAAAAGAGAATCCGACAGGAATTAATAATAATAATAATTACAACAATAATGCTATGTAGTGAATCATACCGGCATATTCAGTAATTGAATAAACTATTATTAACAGCGGAATTATATATAATATCGACTAATAATATTCATTCACATTTTAGTCTGCTATCACCAAGACTGCACACAATGTAGGCGTATTTTGAGATTTGCTATTCATCACAGCTTTCTGTCTTATTGACTACTATATATTTCTCTTCTCAAGTAAAACTTGATGTATTTGCACTTGCTTAAGAAATATTACATACTTTCAACCATTTCCATTGCAGACAGTTTTCCATATGATAAAATCAATACACATGGATTCATAATGACACAATTTATATATTTGGTTTCTCTCAATAACAATGCAATTGTAAACACACAAAATTATTTAGCTCTTGCTAGTGCCGACAAGTCAATAGTACCCTCATCGAACCGGTCTGAAATTGCATATGTTAAATAGTATCGTTAACATCATCGTATAAATTGAATAATTTGGTATTTTTTGTAGTAAGTATTGTGAATTCACAATAAAATTCTCTGGAACAAATTCGACGGTGGATGCCCCGTTTAACACATTATTGCTAATTATTAAAAACAAGTAATTCTTTATTTTTAATATATTTCAATTTATTCGATAATTATTTGTCATACTATTGCACCAAACTATTTTTGGTGAGGATATCGATATAATTTTGAATGTTCATTTGAGCAGTTCACAAAATGGTTCTATTTATCAAATAATACGAACCACTAAAATAAATTAAGCACCTTGTTGGGTGCAGTAAAACCTCCCACCGTTTTGACAACTATTTTTATAAAAACATGCCTCCCAGCAAACTTGACAGTCTTTATCGACGAATGCTTATTACAAGATTTTTTGAGAAGGGATGGGGCAAGCCTGAAAACTTACATAGGTAAGTTAGCAAACTGCAAGTCAAATATAAACAATTGTATTCATGTGAGCTTGTGGCCTGTTCAATCCGTATGTATGTATGTATTGTTGTTATTCCTTTGCATCCTTTACGTAATAAGTCAAATCACTTAAAATTTTATTAATACAAATTAGTTCAATAGCGCATCCATCCATGAGCCAATGAAGAAAGTACTTAACATGTTTGTATACTTGTATGTTTACTGCGGACTTTTAAAATTAGAATAAAACTTGCTGCAGGCGAGACCGTATCGATAAAAAGCGGAAATCGATTTTACAGTCCCAATCAAGTGCGGGTATTCCCCTTTTAAGTTAACTTTGGTGAAGCACAGATTTTGCATTGGATATTTATTTTTCTAATTTTCTCTTTAAGTGTTGGAAGATTGCCAGTTGCTCCAAATATCTGTTGTTTGGTCACGGGAATAATTCACTGAATTTGTTTTCTTCTAGATAAGGAGAATGATTAAATCATAAGCCTCGATAAGGATATGTTGTTGGTATTTTGAGTTAACAAAATAATCTAACTAGCTGCTCAGTCAATTTTTTCTACACACTCCAACCGTTTAATTGATTTTTATTTACTTTCAGAGTATTTCAGTTCCGAAAAATAATTTCGTGCCGGGAAACATGTTTTAAACTCGTACCACGGGACTATCCAGTGGAGATAACAAAAAAGAAGACGTATTCTGATTCGACTCTGATAGAGGGTAATTTTACAACACCTCTTGAACTGCATATGCCGGGAGTCGTTCCAGAAGCAGCCCAACAAGCTCACTTCCAATTATTATTACCAAACAAGTGGAATGATGAACACCACAAACCAATATGCATTCATTTAGCAGGTACTGGAGATCATGTGAGTATATTAAACGAATCAAAAATCTCTTAAACAAAGTAATGAGTTTGTAAATCCTTTTAGTTTTTTTGGCGCCGAAGAAACTTTATTGCAAAGCCTTTACTGAAAGACGCAAACATTGGATCCATTATACTAGAAAATCCATTTTATGGACTGCGTAAACCAGACGATCAAATGTAAGTGTATGTACAATGGATCTAAATCTAAGTATTAACAATCAACGAATTTTCTTGTTACAGTCGATCTAATTTGCACAATGTTTCTGACATATTTGTTATGGGCGGCTGCCTGATACTCGAATGCCTTGTATTATTGCATTGGTGTGAAAGGAATGGATTTGGCCCACTAGGAATTACTGGTTTATCAATGGGAGGTCATGTAAGTATACGCTTTGAGCATATGAAAAGTGTTAACAATATAAATTATAAATCTCACAGAAGTATAAAGAATATCAAATTTTATAATAACTTAAAACTCGAATCAATATATTTTCAGATGGCATCTTTAGCTGCTACGAACTGGCCGAAGCCTTTAGTCCTAGTCCCCTGCTTATCTTGGTCAACTGCATCCGCTGTTTTCACCACTGTATGTAATACAAAATAGATGTACTTAAAATACATCATACTTTCAGCTATCCATGCTTCGAGCTTCTACGGTTGGTTTTATGTTAAACTTATTTTTTGTAAATGGGCTAATGAAAAAAGGTTGCATAGCCTCCATTTAAGCTGGAAGGTGTTTTGTCTAACAAATTTAATTTGGAACTTAACTAACAACACTCCTAATGTTAATTATTGTTAATTTACAACTGATTCATATATATTATTCGTCATATGCTTTAACAGGGAGTTATGAGTCAATCAATTAATTGGGACATGCTGGAGACGCAGTATTACTCTGATGGCCAATATAGGGAACGCCTATCGAAAATGGTTACCATCGTTGACGATGCTTTTACAGCTGGTCAAAATTTTATACAAAATTTTAATAGATCGCTGCACGAGCTCAAAGAGGATATTGATGATACCAGAAAAATACAGTCCCTCCAATGTGAGTCGCATAACAAATCGGTTGAGGATGGGAATAATTCAATATTTTTATCTAAATCACTTGAGCACAATCAAGTAGAGCCGAACCGTGAACCTGTGCCATTAAAAGATATGCTCGATAAAAACGTATCATGTAATTCTAATTTAACTCTAATACAACCGGACACGGCCGAGCGATCGGCGCTGACAAAACTAATGAAATTTATATTGCCCGCGTCGTCTCAGAGTAGAAGTAAGAAAATTGATATCACCAAAACGAATTGGTGGGAGAGAGAGGCACTGCAATTTATGAGAGGGATGATGGATGAGTGCACACATTTGAAGAACTTCTCCGTACCCTTCGACACCTCCCTCATCATAGCAGTGTGTGCAAGAGATGATGCGTACGTACCGCGAGATGGATGCTCGAATCTCGAGGACATATGGCCAGGAGCTGAAGTAAGGTATTTAGATGCTGGACATGTGAGCGCCTATGTCTTACACCAAAAATTGTTTCGGTAAGAACTATTCTAGGTAATATATCGATATCTATCTAATTATATAAATATTTGTTTACAGATCATGTATTATTGAGGCTTTTGATAGAGCTAAAAAAGTTTACGAGAAAGCAAACTATAAAGATTTCTCAACAGCTTTTAAATAAAAGTGAAAAGTAAGCATAAAATATGTAAAATGATTTTGATTGTTTCAGGCAATAATAGTTCAAATATGATTCGGAAAGTGCCTATAAGTTGGATAGATAATAATCATATGCCAATTTATGTAATATAAACAAATGAATACAAAATTAGTATATTTAAGTAAATAAATGATCAATATAATAACAAAATGTATATTGTTGGGCTATCCTTAGTACTCTGTTTTCTGGTAATGCTCTCTGCGGAATGCCGACAGCTTTAAGCGCTGGCTTTGCAGAGATTGCTCCAGTTCTAATACTTTAACTTGAATTTCCATTTCCATAGTCTTAAGTTGAGATGGTGTTAGGTTGCGCAAATCATTATCCTGCTGTTGCTCCTGTCGAGCATTTCCATCCTTTACAGTGGCTACTACGACTCCTGTTGCCTTGGT